GAGATTATTAAATTGTCACGTATAGTTACCACCGTTGCCAAGCACCAGTGACCTCTCCAACTCTATCAAATCATCATGGAACAAGGGAGTCATAGCAAGCATGAAATTCCTGTCGGAGACTCCGACCCATGTGACCAACGGTGTGCAGAGTATTTCGGGAACCATGCGAGGTTACATAGAGCAACAAAGTGTATCTGAGAAAAGTCAATAGCGTTTTCTAATCCTATATTGTGGATTTTAGGAAGACTAACATCATTGAATATCATTGAGCTGTTAGCTTCAACTCCTGCCATGTTAATTTAGATATCTATACACTGTTAACGGCTCTTTATTGAGTTTTTTCCTTATTTATTTATTATATGCTGAATAAAAATTTTATTATGAAACAATATACATATTAAGTCAATCAATGATTATCAATATTTATTATGAAATATTTATTCGGCCACATTAATATCAATTTACAGCCAAAATAATCAGATTTTAAGTTATTTAAGTTTAGTTTACAGTAATTTCGACACATAGAAATAATTACACAATCCATGAGTTATGTACATATATGAATATTTATTCCCTCTGAAATGTTGTACAAACTGTCGCCAACTATGAATCTCGCTCGACATTTACACGCTTAACTTACGTCAACGTACATTAACATTAACTTACGTTAACGTTAATTCACGTTGACGAAGTGTCAATTCAGTCCCTAAAATTCAAAGTGATACTGATGCGTCTGGTTTCTATATTATGGTTCGGACAGATACAAAAAGAAAAATAAAAAGACTGAAGGCTGAGAGAATGCAACTAAATGCGAAAGTTTCGTCATGAGTCGCAGTACATACTGGTCCCCAAAATAGTAATAGTATCGTGTAACTATGTTACAGCAATACTTAATCGTAATAATGTAATCATAGCAAACGTGTCTAGTATAAAAGGAACGATAAGGCAAAGATAAAACGTTTGATAACGAGTCGAAGAACGTACTCGCAAACGGTCCGTACGTGGAATCTTAAATGCCGATACGAGGGATCTCGTGGCGTCAAAAATAAACTTTCTTTTTCTCTTGTTTTTAACAACAATATATAGTATCTCTCGCGAGGTAATCTAATGTTTCAGAGCGTATACGAGAAATCGAGTTTCCCCGATCCTTTAACCGATTGGTTACGCGGGTCCTGCCCGTTCTTCATCCTCAGAAATGGACCCAATTCGCTAACTCGTAGCTTTCGCAATTACAATTTAGTTCTGGCTTTCTTTCTCTGAAATTCACAATTTCCCTGTATTTTGTTAGAAAAAAGATCTCGATATTATTCGTCGGTTAAAGGATCGGGGATCGCGCGGTGCAAAATGCTGCCGCGCGAAGTCAAAACTCTTAAATTTTAACCCTTTTAAAAACTTTTAAGTACACGCTTACGTATGTAATATATACCTATCTCCCATATATATATATATATTTGTATAATTATAATCTTCTTTTTTTTCTCGTAAACTCAACGGGTGACTCTGTGGGCCAAAGTCCACTAGCACGATGCAAAGTACGGCTCACTTTCTGGGCTGCTGAATAATGATAGGACGCGAAGAGTGCGCCGGTCGTGCGTCGTGCGTCGGTGTGGGCTTCTCGTGGAAGTGCTGCACCGCTTCCGGTGGAAAATCGGCGTTTCCTTTGGCCGGGGCACCGCTGATCATTATCGTCTTCGGCGGACTGCAAACGTCAAAATCACTTTTCTCATTTTTCCTACGTACGATAGGATAATATTGAGTTATGGATTACTTTGGCAACACCTTGAAAGTAACATATAAAAAGCGCACTCGAAAATGTTAATGATAATTAAAAATGATTTTAGAACAACCAATATATTCTTGCGATTGTATATATGATTATATATTTATATCTGGAGGAAAAGATTGGCGATCATTTATCTTATTGATTTCTTGTCGCGTGCAATATCGTTATATTGATGTATTGATAATTGTGATGATTTAGTACGATGAATAAAGATATACATGCTTTGTTAAGTAAACATTTCTGATATATATACATTACTGATACGATATTCAGTTGCGAACAGTTGGATTAATTCTTTGTCTTCGAATTAGAGAGTGATCTCAAGAACATATGTTACATGTTTTTCAACGCGGAAATGGAAGAAAATCATTTTTATTTATCATTACAAGCTCCGAGGAATTTTATTGGGATTTTGCATGGCGTGATTAGTCGTCGAATTATATTTTAAATCCTTTTCTTCGTTTGGCGCTCCGTATAAATATAATTTAACTCCTTCCGTGTAAATGTTTTTTCAATTGTAACACGTTTAAATTTTCGATTGCGCAACATTGTGTTATGTAAGTGCGAAGCGCCGATAATCATAACTTATCGTCAAAATTGGCGTCGCGCAGGAATGGAATAATCGGCCAAGTCGTGCAAATATTTTATGCCTTGCAATTCTTTTACTTCGTATCTAAGAATACAAAAGAGAAAGAACCGACGACGTTGCCATATGTTTGATACCCCCGCGAGCCGGATGTATAACGTGGGCAGGCTCGGTTCTGTGATTGCGGAGGCCCAGGGGAATAATTATGCATGTCATTAGAAATGTAAGCAATATGTAGCTACAAAGAAGAGGCAATAAAAGATCGCCATTGTAGAAGAAATACGTGTCATTTATCAATCGTTTCAGACAGTTGGTTTGACAGTCGATTGACAGTAATATCTAATTGATTGTTAGGACTATTGATTAAAGAGAAAGATTTATGTAGAAGAAAAAATCGATGCTATCAATATTTTTTACCGTTATTTATACAATAAGTGGCAGACAGTAAAAATTGATAACAACCGTAAAACGGACTCGCATCTATTCTCACAATACTAGAATGTTTCCCCGGAATATCAGAATTAAATCACATATTGATCTTAATATTGGATTGCCAAATCAATTCCGTGGATGTCGTTAAAATGTTAAATCTTTCCGTCGCGTCCCCCATTCGTCCCTCTTAAAACCGACCCTACGCGGCGAGCCGCCTGTTTTCGACGCCGCGGGAAGCCGCTAATCGCAAAATCCGTTGAGGGACGGGCGTTGAGATTTTGGTGACGTCGCGACAAACATCGGGCCCGAGATCTCGGTCTACATCACCTGCTCGACGGCTTGCTCTCCTCAACATCCTTGCTGGGCTTCGTCTCGCGCTCGTCCTTCGGCGTCTTGTGCTGCGTTATCCTCATGCCGCCCGCCTTAACTGAAAAAAAGAGGCAGAAGTCGCGCGAGAGACGCGCGGCGCGGCATTAGATGTCGAGCACGGGAGCGGAGGACCCGACCTTGGAAATCGAATCGCGATCGACAGGTGGCACGTCAACGCGCCATGAGAGCCGCGGAATAAACGCGGCTCTAACCCCGTCTTTCCGCGCGGTTTCCGCAGGGCGGACGTGTGGGAATCGCTAACCTGCCGGGGGATGACCGCCCTTCAGCCTGCACTCGTCCGTGCCGCTCGACATCCCGTCGTTCTCGCGTCGATTCGGAGCCACGGTCGAATTTCCCGTCGCAATACTCGCAATATGCTGTGCCAACACGCACTGACTGACTCTCTCTCACTGCTCTCTCCCTCGCCGATCCAGTGGCGATGATAGCGTGGCATCCAATTCCTGCCCGACGCCTTCGTGCGCGTATTGCCGGTACTGCGTCGCGCTCTACGAAAAGACGTAGCAGTGGGAGGGGAGGGGGTAGGGTTTCCACACACATGCTGTTTATACTTCTCTCGCGGTGCCCGGTGCCTCGTTTCGAATATACGCATGGTGGCGACAATAATGATCTATGACAATCTACGTGTTTAGTGTTAACAAAAGACATAAGAAATAAAGATATTTAGATAATAAAGAAATAAGAAATTAAAGTATATAAATTCATTAAACTCATTATTTTTATATTAGTTTATAATAATTACGTAACTAATTAATTTTTTTTTTAATTAAAAGACCAGACATATTCAATTTCTTTATATTTTTAAGTATGTATCTGATGATAATTACTATAAATAAGTTCTGGAAAGTTGTCTTTTACTTTTTTAACGTCTGCTGCGAAACTTTGGATACTTGAGTAACTTGGATTAAAAATTGAAAGAAAGCCAAATAGTGGTTAATGTTTATGCCAGATATTACGTATTGTCACGATTGTGGACAAATTGACGTTACATTGCACATTTGATCAAATTGTTTAATAGTTTTAATAAGAAAGCGTTGATTTTTACGATTGATTATAAATTACACGGATAGAAATAATTCCGTTTTATTGTGTAAACGATTAATCTGCACGTACAATGCATATTTAATAATTAAATCTAGGAGGAGGTGCTCGGCTCTGCCAATTTTTTCTCTTCGCCGTACGCATAATGCAAGTCCTTGGAATCCTCGTCTGAGATATGCACCCAGCCAGTCGATTTCATGTGATATACTGTAAAATAAAATGTATATTAAGTTATTGCGATATCGTACAAAATTATACTATACACAATATACCTCTCATCATTTTATAACCGACCTCTTATGATACCGCCGGAATAGGCGTCTCTGTGCGTGGCGTGGTAGATCGATCTTCTTCCAAGTTCGTATGCCTGTTCGTCAGTTAAATCCCACCGGTAACCGGAATCCAGAACACCGAACGCGAACACTGATCCGGAGCCTACGCTGAAAACCTTTCCCGGAGTACGAGTGCCCTCGGAATCGACGTAGTAAAGTCCGGGACCACGCTTGTCCCATCCAGCCAGCATCATACCTACAAAAGGATTACATGTACGAACTCTTGCATATATCCCACGACTAAATTCTGTATAATGTAAATTTTTAATCTAATATCTCACCAATACTCAGTCCCATTCCTTTGAAATTATAAATCATGTTCGACAAGAGTTTACTCGCTGCCGCGATGGAGATGCGCTCTCTGTTTCTGAGCTCGTACATGCGGCACTGCCTTGCTAAAACTCGATCCCAGTAGACGCAATCTGCGGCACCACCGGCCAGAGTGCCAAGAAGATAGTCATTGATCTCCACTATCTTCTTCATGGTTTGTGAACCTAAGGGACAAGGTAAAAGTCAATCAGTTTTTAATGTTTTCATCCTGTATAACCTGTATAATTTATCGTGCAAATATATAACGAGTTTTACCAATAAACTGTCCTCCTGTCGCACGCGAATCCACCGCCAGGATAATCCCGCCCTGATATCGGAAGCCCAAGGTTGTAGTTCCATGATCGAACTTGATCTTCAGGTTCTTTCCGGTCTCGTCGGTGCCTTGAGCTATACGACCAAGAGTTTCAGCTGGCTATGATGTAAAAAGAAATACATGTAAAGGATTAAAACTATTTAAATTAAAAGGTCATTTTTAGATTTTAACATAGGAATATTTTATATAATATATAAAATATAATTCTGCAAAGGCTTGTGCTATTAATTTAAAGAATGACTGTTGTCCTAATTTCATACAAAAATAACCTAGAAATACTTGAATTGTGTACTTAAAAAGAATCGTAGAAGACATTCAAAGAATTCGATTATTAACGTTATTAGTATCGTTATTAACAGCTGCTGCGACGTGATAACAATTGTCTACGTTAATTTGACAAATTGTAAACCGTAATTTGCGCGTTGCGAAGTGCGATTTGCATGATGCTGCAAATTTGGGTTACGATCGTTATTGCCCTTACATTGACGAACGGCGGCACCGCCAGTTGGAGGTTGTTGGTGAAATTTCTGGTGTACGCCTCGACCTCGCCGGCGATCTTGTCCTTTTCTCGCGAATATCCGAAATCGACGGCGGAGTTGATACCACAAACCTCGGCGAGCGCCATTTTTACCGGAGTGTTGACTGTCGACTGCTTGTCATTGCCTCAATTCCGACTGCTTCCGGTAGAGAGCGCTCGTGCCCATGTCAGCAGTCAGCGCCACAGCGCGATGGAAAATCGAACGAGAAATCGAAATCGAAATCGAAAAAAAAAAAACTTCTTGTCGAAGATTCGCAGGAGTCGAAAATATGCCAGCTCTCCAAAAGCAACTTCTTTTTTTACAATTGAGTTGTACAAATTGCCTGAGATCGCGGTTAAAAATGTTAAAAAATGGATTTGTACTTAAAGATATTAGAAATATATATATTGTTTATTTTTGTATTTTTGAGATAATTAAATCGCGGATAATTCATTTGGGCATTAATTAGAGAATGAACAGAGAAGAGGGGGGCACGCAATAGAATCAATCTTGTAAATTCTTGGAAAAGTTACTCACTGAATCTCTACAAGATTAATTGATCCTTTCATCAATCTGACACATTTTTTCCTAAAATAATTACAACGTATATTATCACTTTTGAGAGAGAAAAATATTAAAAAATAGAATAAGCGGTATTGTCATTTTTTATACAATTGGTTTTATAATGAGTAAGTAAAGGAGAAAGCATATGATGACTTCTACGATAAACTCTCATTAACTTTTAATCATCAGATTAATGATTAATTGAAGTGGAAAAAATAGCTTGTCGCAAAGTTTCTACGAATAATATAATTTTGTAATCTAATCTTTCTTTCTATATATTAAATATAGATAAAACAATAATTAATCTTTTTTCTAGTAGATAATAGTAGATAATAAAATAATAATGAGTATTATCTGATAATTAAGTTAACCGGAATTTGATCGCCTGAAGTTGTAAAATTTCTTAACATCCATGCAAGCAGAACAAAAAGTCAATAATGGCGTTAAGATAATGTTAAAGCCATTTTTAATAATCATTTTGGAGCCATTTTAACACCATTTTGACGTTATTATAATTTTTATATCATGATTGATTTGTGCGTAGGCATATGATAAATAAAATTTAATTTTTCATGTTTGAAAGATATTCTTTTTGACACATTTTTTTATACAACTAGGAAAGAGATGATAGTTTGCTGATGAAATTCTTATCTTATCTAAAAACCAATATATTGATAGAAATCACGGAATCAGAAATCAATTAAATAGCTTTTATATCAACTATATATCTTCGATTGTACAACTGTACCGAACTTGGAAGTTTCTACTTTATTTGCTCAATTTGACAATAGAATATAGGATCTTTTTATTTTTTTAATGAAAAAGGATATTTTCTTGATTATAATAGCAATCGCATTAAGGGGGGAGACTCATGTCTTTGACCCTTTTTTTTGATAATTTTTTGTAAAGAACTGAGAGTATTTATTGAATCCTAATAAAATACATGATAATGTTGCCGATCAAATGTACAAGAAAAAATTTTTGTATAGTAGAAAAAATACAAAGTGCAGCTGCCGCCATTTTGTATTTTTTCTACTATAAAAAAATTTTTTCTTGTACATTTGATCGTCAACATTATTATGTATTTTATTAGGATTCAATAAATACTCTCAGTTCTTTATAAAATATTATCAAAAAAAGGGTCAAAGACATGAGTCTCCCCCCTTAAATCGAACACGCTTGAGTTATTCGAAGGATATATGTAAATCAAAAAGATTGATATAATACTGAATGGTTTATAATACCGATTGTGTAACGCATTATTTTTACTTCTTTCTGATATAATATTATATTTCAGGTCCCTTGAAAATATATATATAAATGCAGGTTTTTTACATTTTTTTTCGATATTTTTTATATATTTATTCAATCTTTACGATCGGAGATAAAACCGCAGAGTCTCTCCGAGAACCGATAAGCTCGCGATGAGTTCGAAGAAGCGATCGAGAGTCTGAAAGCTCCGCTGTTTTCGTCGTAACAGCCTAACGCAGCCAACTTCCATAAAACAGAGCATTTTTATTACTGGCACCTGGGGCGTCAAGCGCTCGTCTCGAATACCAATGGACGGGGCCCGGTATACTCTTTTCGAGGGTCATCCGCGAGAATTCGTCGACCACGCACGGCCCCGCCGCGCGAACCAGACGGACGGCATACGTGCCTCCGTCGCGGTCGCGTTTTTCTTATTTGTATTCCGCGGGGGAGAAACGCGGTAGGGCCAGCATCGGTGGAGAAATCATAAAAGAGCCGTGTAGATAAGGCACGCTCACCTTGGCGCATCACGCGAGTTGCCCTATAAAAGAAACGGACACACCTCGCGATCCGATCAAACCGTATCGAAATGTCGCGTCCGATCGTCGTCGTCGTCGCACTCGCGATCCTGGGCCTCCTGCAGGCGGCTACCGCCATCGACTTGTCGCAAACGAAGAATGTCCAAGTCGACTTCAGCGAGAGGGATATCGTGCCGAAAACGGCGCTGGTGAGTTAATAATTAATTTATCACACGTGCTTTTCGAAAAGACAAAAATCCGCGAATATGCATATAAATGGCACGGATTAAAGCACGCTTTAAACCGCATCGGATCTCAAGGTGGGAGATCTCTCTATTTATAATTTTATATGTTGTGTTTTTAATACATGGTGTACATGCTTCTAATTTTTCATACTACATATAAAATAGAATTCTATTTTAAATTCTGATACAAATAAGAATTGAATTAATTTTTAATTTTAAAATTTAAATTAACTTTCTTTGAAGAAGCATAATGTATCTTACAAATCGTAAGATATGATAGTAATTTTTATGTCAGTTTCTTTGAAGAATCAAAATTGTATACTAAAACAATCTATAATCTTTAACATTTACAGAAGAAAATTAACGTACTTTTTGATTTGGATGTTTTTCTTCATAGGCATCATTATCAGTTCTTATGGTGCAAGATAATCTTTAAGACTTATTGTATAAAAATAAATCTATATATTATGTTATGTATATGCATTCCCTGTTAGAATATAGAAAGATTATAGTTTCGCGAAGAACAATCCTAGAAAAGTTTCTTGGTAATCATTAAGAAAATTTTATGTCTTATGCCACGTCTGTACAGAAAAGTCTTGTGCCCGAGACACACGCTGCTTCAGGATTCATCGGAAATCTCGAAATTGGAAGAAGATATGCCGACGAATCAGTCTTCCGCCGAGTCATCGAGTTTAACAATCCAACAAACACTGTTCAATCATCTACCCTATCGCTAACCGTCACTAATGGTGAGAAAAAAATGTGTTACTTTATGAATCAAGCTTATAATTAAAAAATATTAAGTAGCTGTAAGCATCCATTGATCTTAAATATATTCTCCTTTGTGCAGGAATTATCCATTACATTAGTGTGGTGAACGACAGTGGCAGCTACGCGGTAATATGCGACGAACCGGGGACTCTGGGAAAATCCAGAGCCAACATCAATATTCGCGCCTCTGCCAACACGAAATCCTACCTCACGATCGTCGTAGCAGCGCATTAAACAATGCATTTGTATTTGTAACAGAGAAATAAAATAAACATTGCATCTTTTTCGTTTCCCGCGAGAGTTTATTAAATTGTGATAAGAAATTTCTGTACCCCTATGTATTCTTGTTCTGCACGAAAATAAAATAAAAGTCTTGAGAGGTCAGCAGCAATATCATTGTACATATAGCAATTCACATGTTTGAACGATAAAAAGCATTCTCTTAGCTTTATTAACTTATTTTTTATAATATATGGATACTTTCATCAATGTAAAAATAAATTCTCATTGATCGATTGCGTGAATCAATGGGCCGCTTTTCGTAGATAGGCATGTATAAAAATAGTCCGTAAAAGAACGGTGTGATAAGTATTGCATAATAAGCGTGTCATTGGAAAATCATTCACGCGACTCACGTATCCACGCTTCGACATCGTCACGCGTTAAATGCAAATTTCGTGAATGCCGTTTTCGAGGTGTTACACCAACAGAAAAACATTCTTCCGTGAACTTAAACGCGATTCTTGCATCTTGCTTCGAAAAGGTGTTAAAAACGGACAAGTGTGTGACACGCAAATGTTTTGCGTGGGAACAGACATTTTGTTTCGAGGGCATATGTGAACCGAATTAATTTTTTTCTAAATAAAAAAATATTTTATCTCAATGACACTTTTATCTAATTTAAGATTTAACATTTAGAATTTAAGATGCACCTCATATCGATATACGGACACGTTACACGTGGGTAGAAATTCCTAAATGGAAACGAACGACGTCGTCAAATGTATTTTACTCTCTCCTTTTGCCGATATTAGATTCGTAGGCGGGCAAGTTGAGGATTAAATAAAATCACACGCCGAAACCATAATCCCAACATTTCGCCGAACTAGCTAGCTCTTAATGCGTCACATAAATTTTCCTCTTTTCTTATTTGCTTTGCCAATATATAGGTATACAAAACTGCAGACATCTCATCGAGGAATTAATCTTCATTCTTCTTTTTGCAATTTAATCTTTATAGTTATGTAAAAAACTATCATAGAATATTTTCTCTTTGAATAAGAAGATGAAAAGATTTTTCGATATTGTATCATCTGTATTATATATTATTGTATATTGATAAAAGATAGAGAAGAAAATTGTGAGACGCACAATAATATTTCGAAAAGCGATATAGCGCCGCTTTTCTGCTTTAAATATTGTAATCTTAGAGATATTTTATTTATTGTAAATTCGCGCGCGCGCACATTCCTTTTATAGCACTAATTCGAATTAGCACTGACAAATTGTCACTGTCACTGCTATTCTTCCTACTATCATTCTCGTTACGTGGCTAAGTCTCGACTGCCTCGACGAAAACGACCCTGCCATTGCAGATTCGTTAATAATGCACGGTCAAAATATCCAGCGATTCTTTTCTCTTTCAAAGACGAAATTTTTTTAGCGATATAGCGATGGCAAAAAGTATCTGCAAGCTGCGCGCTTTCCATGGGTCTTTTGAATTTTTCAACGGTTTCACTCATTTCGTCTTCTTGTTACGAACAAAGAAAATTTTTTCTTGTACGTCGCGGTTGCGACTGTTCATTTGCGGGATCTTCGACAGCAAAAGGAAAAAAAGAACGAAACGTAAAAAGTATGTTTCTGCCGATCAGTGAACTTGGACCTGCTCTTTTTGCGCGCTTCCATTATAATTTATGCATCATACCCTTTCGCCAAATGAACACTTTGACGAGACGATAATGGTGCACGTTCTTTCTGGCTGTTACAATATTTATGACGGTGCAAGGTATCGCGTGTCAAGAATTTCGTCGGAGGCATGCGTGATAATAATGTTCAAACGGTGGGGATAATATCGTTGAGACGAAGGAAGGCCAGTAATCCTTTGACCAATGGATCGTTCAGACGAATATAATGGTATTAATTCTTTTTCGTTATTATTTAATAATTCTAATAAAACATAGATGCAATATAAAATTATATCTCTCGTCATAATTCAAGATTATTATATCAAGTTTTTATTTTTGTAAGGGACAAGAGAGTACAATGCGGAGCGAGATGAATAAAAAAGACATTTTGAATTTCAAAACAATTAACGTACTTTTTTCTAAAAGATCGCATTACAGATAATGAGATAATACATCGCATTTTATTATTAAATTAATCTGCTGCATCTGTAACACGATGATTAAAAAATAAATACTTTGATTTTATAGTGTCAAAATCTTTTATATTCTGCAATTTCAATATTTCTCTCTCTCTCCTCTCCTTATGTATTTTTTTAATTTTTGAGTCTGCAACTATGAGTTCTTATACAAAAGTAATATAAATCTGTGAATTTATATGTCAATCTTATATACTTAATATTTTAATGAAAAAAATAAAATTTTTATTAAGAAATTTTATAATTGTGTATGTATATTCTCTTTAATTTTCAGGATTCTTACTATAAAGTTATAAAAAATATATATAAGCTTACGGTGTACGGTGTATTAATATTTTAATAAAAAGTTTTAAAGTGAATGTGTGAAGTTTTACAGTGTAATGTGATATTCAAGTCAGCAAATTCTAATATATTTAATTGCTTACATATAGATTTGGAATGGGCGATCAGCCTGAACCGTTGCATGTTGAAAATTATCGGTTTGTGGCCGGAAGAAACCAAAGCGCGAATTATTTAATTCTATGACATGGAATATTTTTATAATTTTAACTGCAAATAAAAGATACTTAAGAATCATTATAATTTTTGAAGATATAAACTTCAAATAAATAATGATCGTCGTATATGTGCTATTCAAACTGTATAATAAATTACCACCGACTTAATAGCCTTGAGATTTGCAGTAGAAATTATAAAAATCATACTTTTTGTAATTATTAATAAATAGATTTAATTCTCAATAAATTTAACTGTTCTGCAATTGACATAATTTAAATAATTAATCCCATTTCTCCTCAATTCTGAATTAATTCCTCAACGAGTAATTAGTGTATATATAAAACATATTTTCTCAGTCGGAAAAAATACATCGTGCCACGTACGACTACAAATGGTATACACTGGAGCCAAAGAAAGCAAAAAACTTGACGTTAATCATGCTCCGTGTAAAGAAACCAGTCAATATTACAGCAGGAAAAACATTCCCGATGACAATGTCCACGTTCTGCAACGTGAGTTGTGTGGAACATATAAAATATGCAATAATCTTTTTATTTTACTTGAATTATGAGACACTATTTGTTTTAGATCATTGTACACATTATAATTTTCGAGCAATATATTTCGTTCAAGTATTTAATATTTTACGGTTATCTAAAGGATCAAATGTTTCAGTTGCTAAAAACATCAGCGGGCTATATATCCGTGTTACTTGCCAATCAAGATTAATATCGACATAATTAGAGGATAAATTAGTTGCTTGTTTAGTACCACTTACGACGTAAGATAAAAAATTTGTTTATATAAATATGCTATGTATTGCAATATACGAGAAAGTTATGTGGATAATTAGAAATATATTTTTTTTCCACATATCATGCTTCTCTATCATTGCATTTTGATTATGCAATCCAAACATCAATCCTGATATCAACTATTGTGATAGCGTGGATAAAAAATTAACGGGATAAACAAAAATGATTATATAAGATAATATTTAAGCAAGTATATTACTTTCTTCATAATCATAAAAATTACTTTTCTATGGTATCTGCCTGTTTTTGAAGTAGTAAATCTCCTTTGGGTTTCAACTTGTTGTCCAGAATTTGTTGTGTTTTTTGTTCTTTCTCTTTTTGCAATCTAGCATGTCTTTCAACAGCATAATCTACCTCTCCAACTAATTTGATAATTCTTGCCTGGAAATCGATACAGTAAGTATATGATTTCATAACAAGTAATAATCTCCATTTGTTTTACATACCGCATAACCACGTTGTTTATCTAAGCGTGCTTTTTGTCTTATTCCAAGAGGCGTAGGTCTCCCATCTTTAAATTTATAATCTGGCAAATTTGTCAACAGACCAAAAGTATTTGGATTAGCCGTTAACCCACGTCTAAAAATGTAATATACCAATTAAACAATTACAACTGTAAATTATACATATGGAGGGGTAAAAACCACAGTGGTGTAAGTCAAATTTTTAAGAATATTTTTTCGTGTGCATTAGATGCAATTTATATATTGTATAGATTGCATCTATGCACGCGAGACAAAAAATTTAACATACACCACTATGACTTTTACCCCTTCATATATCTAATAATAATAAGAGAAATATGCATATATCAATATCATTAAAATAACATTGCATTAAAACATATATTGATAAATTTCATATTCTGCATGTAGATTAATTCAAACAAAACCAATTCTAATATTTTTATATACTTTTTACATTAGATATTCTTTATACATACAGATATACAATAAACTTGGGAATAATCATTTTGTTGCTTGATATGTCAGAACAATGTATATTAACGTTCTATATTTAAACATAGATAATTTCAAAAATCATACTTTTGTCTCCACCTCTGGTTCAAATATTGTACACAAGACTGATGAAACCCATTAACCACAATATTATAATCTGAAATAACAGATAGTATAAAACATCATTGATAATATATGATCGCTAATTACAAGTAATAAATGATTACATCATAAGAAATCTATTCAACAGAGTATAAATTTAGTAAAGAATAAATGTGACAATATTATAGCCGTAATAACTTTTTCTTCTTTAATACTAACTTATATGTTGTTCAACACGAAGTACAGCTCTAGCAGTCGATATCATATTTGACGACAATATTGTATATTAATTCGATAATAACATTTATTTAATTTCTTCTTACAAAATCTATATTTAGGTTAGGTTACACACAGCAAGTCTCGCCGCCACTGTCTCTCTCTCTCTCTCTCTCTCTCTCTGCAGGGATACCAATATAAAATGTTTGTTCTTTTCAGCTACACTTTACACACCCTTTTTCTTTCTAAAATATTTTTATTTTATATATTTCAAATATAGATAACGTAAGAATATGTCTACGAAGAATAAATATGAAAAATACAATTACATTTGGTACAATAAATAAAATTAATAATAAATTAACATTAGAGAAGTCACGGTTTTCTTTTATTTCTATCACGTATCAGTTATGTGCATATTACATACAAATTTATTATATACATTAATAGTTCTATAAAGAGACATTTAACCATGTACACCCGGAACCCGATATAAAAACTCCCCGTCGTCGTCGTAATAACAATCTCTGATCCGATACGTCATGCCTGGTTTGTAGAGATGCTTCGCGATCTTTATTGGCTTAGCATAGTTTAATTCTGTATCCGCTTTTTTCTTCCACACTTCGACCCTTGTATCTAACAAATTGTCATCCGCCCCAACGATATTGAAGTCTTTATGCTTGTCCCTAGAAGGTATAGAAATATCTCTGTCAGATCGTCGTGCAATCTTCGATGAAGTATCCTCCTCGGCGTGAGTTACCGCATTGTCGGATGCTGCGGCAATTTCTGCAGTTTGCATCTCTTGACTGGCTTCCACCTGCTTCCTATACACATTCAGTAGAGTGATACCTTCCTCCGGGGACTCCTGCTGTACATCTTCCAGCTTTGTCCTTACAAATTCGTCAAATGTAAGTGATTTACCTTCCTTAGTAACTGGCACATTTAATTTCTGCGAATTTCTACGCGATTGTAATGTAAAAGATCGTTCTTCGTTCAATGCAAATTTCTCTGTATTTTTCACAGCGGTAGGACTATCGGTTGTAGCGCTCGCAGTCAGTAAATTCTGATTTTCGGAGTAATCGGATCGACCTGCCACTTTGCTCGAATTATCCTCTTGCGATAATAATTTCGTATCGCTTTTCTTTTCCTTCTCATCTAAATAAGTTTGTACAATACTGGAGAACAATTGACTCTTTGGTTTCTTGAACTCCACCTTAGGGACAAACTGTTCCGCTAACGATTCTCTGTCTGTCAAAATAATTTTCCTGTTCTTAAATTTCATCAGGTGCTCACCGAGTATGGGATTCAACGGTAGTCTACCCGCCCGGAATTCCTCCCAATTTTTAACCGCCACATTGTCGTACTGCAAAACCTTCTCCACCGATTTTGGCGACCACTTAGTCCGCAGGATTTTTTGTATCGTCTCTGGTAAGGCAGGAAAACTCTCGCTGAGTTTCTCCACCGTCCACTCGTCGGGATTGTGATTGTGTAACTTACGAATCAACTCGTTTTCCGCAAATGTGAGAAAACGTGGCTCTTTCTCTTTGAAACACTTTTGGATGGCGATTCGTTGTTTAAGACGCTCCTTCCTGACTTTCGTCTCTCTGGAAAAAAGATTGATGCCGTCTACTAAATCAATTCAACGTGTTTCATTATATATAACATTTTTACAATTTTACACATTTTAGAAAATGATGTGAAGCAAACTCAGTTTAGGTAAAAGCAAGCTTAAACACTAGCTGTAAAATACTACATATATACATAAAATTGTATTACAACAATTAAATGCAATGCATAGAATCTTCGTGTAAGTACAGACATAAATATACCTTTCATACATCCTGTGGCTCATACCGATGTTCATAAAGTCCGCCTCGAATTCGCTTACGTCTTCAGCGTCGAAACCATCAACCGATTCATCCTTTTCTATCATTTCCATTCTTTTACGAATACCGGCGAGTGGCTTGGTTAGAGAGGCAGGAATTGCTCTCTTGCTAAACATTCTGCGTAATATCGTCGTCATCGCTCTGATTTCGCTCATCGTGGAGTCCAGGTTCTATCGTCGTGTGTGGGCCTTCCAACCTCAACTTGTTCGCAAATAACAACACACACCGGTCACCGGATCTCGATTGATGATTCTCGATGGTCCACACACGCGCGCCATCTGAGCTAATTAAAGAACCATTCAGAAATCAGACGGAGCACGGACTAAACAATTCGGACGGGTTAATTCTGTTGACACTCGCCTCTTTCACACTCTTTCACTTCAATTTCACTCGGAATAAGTATGTACGTATCATACATTTTCAAGCACATTAATATCAAATTAATCGAAACACATAATTCAATACATGAATTGTTCTCTTACAGCATACCCTCGTAAATATTTATATTGTTGTCTGAGGATACGTGAATATGAGGATAAGTGGAAGGACATGTAAACAAAATAAATCTGGAATAAAATATTTGGAAAACAGGGAATCGTTTTTCCACTGACAATGCCCTGTTGCTGCGTCACAGGGTGCCACAACAGAGCGGAAAAGGGGCACAAACTCTATAAGCTGCCTCAAGGACATAGGAATGAAACGAGACGAAAATTGTGGATACAAAATATAGGCAGAAAGGGCAAACTGCCATTAAATGCATATGTTTGTCGAGTAAGGATTTTTTTTATGTGTTACATTATGTATCGAGAATTGTAGCCTCTATAGTATATTCATATTAATGTTGGAGTGATGCATATTAATAACTATATGTAAGGAAATATTTTATTGTTGTGCACAATTCAAGTTACGCCTGTAGGATTCCAGGATTTAAGTAATATTATCGAACTGTCAGAATATTAATCGTTTTTAGGCTCACTTTACGGATGATCAGTTTGAGCTGAAAAGGGCAGACCATAAGAAGCTATTGAAGTGGAATGCTGTTCCTACAATATTCTCTCATTCCAGAACGATTAAACGCGAAAGTCCGTCAGAACAGAAAGCAGCTGTACTTACGAGGCATGAAACTAGCGATTCGCCGAAAAAAGCTACCGCGGAAGAGAGCTTGAAGACAGAATTCATAATAAAAACAGAAGTAGAAGAAAGCTGTAAAGATAATTCGGATGAAGTGTTGGCTTTAAAGTGCAAGTTAAATGCTTCCCTAAAAGAAATCCACACTTTGAGGACTACTATATTCCAGCTACAGGCAATAATAGAGAAATTAGTAGAGAAAAATTGTATGGACAAAACGTAACTGTGTCTTTCTAATAAGTGTAAGTTTAGCATCTTCGAGATGATGTACAGAAATCTGAGATTATACATCAATGACGGGTTGAAGAGTTATTTAGAAGATGGCTCAAATACTTTACATGACAATGTCGAACGACTATTTATTTAACTGATTCACTAATATGCTATTAATGAATCTGCAATCTAACAAATAAATTTTTACTTTTCACAGATTTCATAATTATTGAAAAAGAACAATCATAATAAAACGGCTATAATACAGTAGCAGCAAGCAGTTTAACCATGTAAAGTTTTATTGAAATATATAAATTATCTTCAATCATAAAACATTGACTAATAACTCTTCAACAAATGTGATATGTGACGATTCTTATTGCGTACTAAAAACAATATTTGCTTAACGAGTGTACAATAGTGTTAATTAAATATAGAAATAAAACCAATTTTTTATCAAAAAATCAAGAATGAAATATGATTATCCTAAAACAGATTATCATTCACTTCGTAATCCCGTCACTCATATGACTTTCAAGTCTTTCAACTCTCTAAATTAATCTATGAAACCAAGGTAGGAGTGATCAAATGCAAAACCTGTCAGTTGATCGTTCTTATACAGAACGTGTTACCCCAAGTTTAAGAGTGACATTACCAATGAATGTAATAGTTTAGTTTACAGTTTGCAAAATGTAGAAGATAAAATAATACATTATCAAAATGAGAGATATGTCTACATTTCATTTCATTGAAATATCTACAGGCAATTTTGGCGGCAAAAAGCACGTGGCCGCCACTCCCACACGCATTGGATATTCTCAGATAAATATAGGAAACCGGATTGGCCATCGCGTGGGACACGCGTCACTCCACTACTCCAGTTTTGTAAGCCTGGTTCTTCGTACCTGCACTTTCTGCACTTAAAATGAAGATTAGAGAAGACACATGTAATTAAATAAGAAAAAGAAAAATAAGGCGAATTGGCGAATAGTCCAAAAAAGTTCAGCTACAAAGAACAAAGCTCTCGTATCCCACGTGCGACAGCCGTTGTTCCCACGCGTCAGCGGGGCGTGCGAAGAGCCAGATTCGCGAAGTCTCTCGCGGGAGCCTCGGAGCCTTGTCAAAATTCTTGTCAAACGCAGGAAAAATGGCGGATGAAAGCGAGGATCAGTGGTTGTACGGGGATTCAACCGACAGCAAGGAATATATCCCGGCGAATATTCAATCGGAGATACAGCAGAATGACTCGATCCTCGCTGAGGCTCAAGAGAACTCCCAGACTCAGGAGGAGGTCAAGGTGGAATGTACCGGCGAAACACCGTCCGAGGTATGCGCGCGACCTAACCTCTCTCGATCGTTTACAATTGATTCTCCGCAAAATATCATGGAGAAATTTACATTTGTTTCGATTTCGACGATTTAGCACGCTTAATATCCCATGTCACGTACAGACTTCCAATTAAATATGCATACTTGCTTTAATGGCGCGACATAACCTGTACGTAACACTTTGACAATAAACAAGGTGTAAGAAGATCGCGTCGCGTAAAAGAGTCACGGTCGGTCCCGCTCCGCGTATACTTGGCACGAGACACTACCATGTCTCTTGATTTGTATCAAAAAATTGGACTCCCCCCTCCCCCAATTGATGACACGGAATCACGAAAATAGAAACGTGTCTATCCTATCCCAAACCTCTAAAAAAAAACTTTGAAAATAAACAAATGTATAGATAGAAGAGAAAGATAAACATGTTTATCATGAACTATAGTTTGTGTAAATTGTATTTGTATCCTTTCTTTCTTTTCAAAACGTTTGACCTTTTTGTATCTCGATATCGTTCTTAAAGGACGTATTTTTTGATAGATGCAAGAGGCTGGCGACTCCCTTGGCGGTGGTGACGAAGAATCCTCTTTGTTGAATAATGCTCAAGAAGAGAATGCTGATGCGAATAAGAACGGGAGGGAAGCTTCTAGTCAGGAGGATGGCGAAGCAGCCAGCGAATCTGATTCCGATGACGATGTACATGTTGTTATCGGCGATATCAAATCGACTCCCGCTTACGGTAGTTTAAATATCAAGAGAGGAGGACTGCTAACCAACACGTCTGGTGTATCAGACAAGCTGAGCAAACAACCGGGAAAGTTCAGTATAGACGAATTCGAGACTATTGGCGTTATCAATGGGATACCGGCCCACGAATTCAATTTAGATCAATTGGAGGATAAACCATGGAGACAACCTGGCGCGGATATCACGGATTACTTCAATTATGGCTTCAACGAAGACACCTGGAGAGCGTATTGCGAACGTCAAAAGCGGATGCGAAGTGAATCTGGAGTAGGATTGATTTTAAACGCGGGTGGCGGTGGTGGTGGTGGCAATCCGGGGGGCATGAGAATGCCTCAGGTCGCGATAACCAACGACAACAGCAAATATTCCGGCATAATGGGTCCTAAGAGGGCAGGTCCGCCGCCTGGAAGGAAAATGGCAGGAACTATAGACGTTATAGGAAGCTCCGGTTTAGCCTCCAGAAGAAATCTCGATAAATCCCCACCAAAGGGAAACGTTATACAAGTCATGACTGCCGACAGGAGAGAGTATTCCAGGAAACCAGGTTTCCCCGACATGAGCGTACCGCCTCCTGGAGCAGGAATGCCGCCGCCGCCATTCGATATGCCTCCGCCGGGATATGCTGGAGAACCCACGCCGTTCTACATGCCGGAAACCGATCCGTATTACCAGAGTTACGAGCCTACGCAGGACAGCCAGTGGGGCAATGACCCAGTAAGAATGCAGCGCTGTACACTGCGCGTCAATGATTCCTTTCTTGAGGTAAACGGAAAACATAGAAGCCTAGAGACGTTATTGGTTACTTCTATTAAAGTCACTAGAACTTCTATGTCCCCCTCCTCTTACCTCAGAAAAGGAATCTTTGACGTGCAGTGTACGATATAAATTATTCGAAAATAGCATTTATTTGAATAGAACTATCTAATGTATAGCTATCTAATGTATATCTAATTATATAGCAATTTTTAAGCTGTATAACATTCGATGATTCTATATTCTACACTAGAAAAGTAAAGCTAACTTTTTTCTTTTTATCAAAGACATGGCAGCCGACAAATCTAGCGATCCCGATGACTGAAGGTGAAGACGACAAAGACATGGGACCTAAGACGATACCTACGATGGTTCCACCAACGTCCATTCCTCCTTTGATGCCGCGCGATCAGAGGGACGGCAGAGATCGGGAGCGAGACAGGGATAGAGATCGGGACCGAGAAATGGAGTCTATGAGTAGAGATAGGGACAAGGATAGAGATCGCGATCGTGACAGGGAGAAGGATTCCATGATGAGAGACCGCGATAGAGATAGGGACTCTATGACGCGAGATGAGGATCGAGAGCGCGACAGATCCAGATCTCAATATCGACATAAAGATCGGTAATAATCTGTTCTTCCTTCTCCAGAATTCTATATCAGACGCTACGTATGGTATAATTTCTATAATATGTTAATATATGTTAACTCCGGTATTTTTTAGACATCGGCATCGATCAAGATCACGATCTCGCAGGCACAAGTCGAGATCACGAAGTCCGAGTCGGCGTAAGAAGAAATCCAGACGTTCGGATAGAGAGCGTTCCAAGGAAGAAAGCGAATAAGCGCGTGTAAAACCTTACTGTGTTAATTTACGGCGTCGTAGCTGGATGCACCATAGAATTAAGATCATTTTGCATAAAATAATATTCCGACTGTTGCCGAGTATAGTATACGCATCGGTAATATTATTCACAAAAGCTAATTGTAAGATATACAGACTACTAATTGTCAGATAAAGAAATGAAATGTATAGCGAATCCTGCGGAAGTTACAAATGATATAATTTTTGACACGAGTAAATTATTAATGCAGACAATTAAAGTTGGACATACAGATTGATGGAAGATTACAGATAAAGAAGATAAAAACTTTACGTTTTATTATGTATGTTTAAGACCTGCCTTTTAGAAGTAAAATATTTTTTATTGTATCTGCACATTGATTTCTGTGTGTGAATGTAATCGACGAAAAGAATACTGATATGATAAAGCTATTTTCAACAGATTTTTATATTCTATCAATGCGGAAACAATAGGCAAGATGATAAGGTTCTATTTTGATTGAAATTTAATTGAATGTCCGAATCACTGAAAAGTGGCTGAACTTGCACGATTAATCTTTTCTCTTTTTCTCTCCAACGTGAAAAGAAAAAGAGAAAAGATGAACCCGTGCGCAAGAAGTTCAGCTAAAAGGAACAGGACTTCTGCTACCATTTGCACTACTGCGCATACGCGGGATTTGTCCGTCCTATCGTGGCTATTGTCCGAATACTCCCGAGAGATCGTTGAAGACGTTGAAGCTGGTTATAAAACTCATTTGCCGGAGAAGCTGGTATGCTATTTCTATAATAATTACACAAGATTTTATAACTATACTACAATTCGACAAACGCGATAACAAAATATTTGATCGAGATTCTCATTTGCAATCAGTACCTGTCTGTAAAAGAATGTAGGTCACGTAAACGATGTAACGCAATTGAAAAGTTAGGTTATGTTTCTGCATGTCTATATATAACGGGCATAAAATAGTGTAACACATTTTAAAACGTATAAAGCATTTTTGATGGATGAATTTATTTAATTATTACCGTAATATCACCGTGTAAGATATGTCATAAATAAAAACTGTTAGCAAAGTATATAGATACGTTACATTATTGATGGTTTATTAATAACCTTTCTCAACAGTGACATTAAATATTTTTATTTTCTTTTTTTTTTTAAGATTCTGTTTCGTTAGAGCCGAAGATGCCGAAGTCAAAAGAATATCTGTCTGACAGCGATGACAGCAGTAGTGAGGAGGTATTATTTTTAAACATTTATATTAATTTCTGTAACATCTTTTTATGTTCGTATTGTTTCCCATTTGCAGGAAGTAAAGTCAAAAAAGAAGCAAAAGAGGGAAAGGGAAGAAGATGAAGAAAAAGAGGCGAAGAAAGAGAAGAAACCGGCGAAGAAGCCGAAAACGGATGATGAAGATAGTATTTGGGACTTGGGTAACAATCGCCAAGTAAATGTGAGGAATTTCAAAGGCAAATATTACGTCGATATTCGGGAGATGTATTATGACAAGGATGGCGATTTAAAACCTGGGAAAAAAGGTAACATTATTTTTGCAAAGACAACGAACTTTACAGTTGATAATCTTATAATCAATTAAAAAACCCAGGTATAAACAGATTTTTAAATATTTCAATATTTTTGTGATTTTTATAGGAATATGCTTAACCATGCAACAATGGCGAAAGTTAATGGATGTTGTGGAGGAGGTGGATAAAGTGGCCAAGTCAAAGAGTTAGAATTGTAATTCTAACGAATTCTAATTTAAAAAATGTTTCTTTTACGTTCATGATGCTTCCAACGTTACGTTTTTGAAAGTGTGTAACTGTCGTATATTTTTTTTTAAAGTCCGAGATTTATAAGTATTTCTGTGAAACTAGAGATTACATAAAATGTTGAAGTGTGTTATTTGGGAAGTGTATCTCTAAGAAAACTACACTTATTTCTGATTTGTAATGGACAAATAAAATACTTTATTTGCTATTTTTTCCAAGAAAATAAATGGTAAGATCCTGGAAACTAGTAACATCGTATCTGGTTTATATGTTATAAAATTTTGTGAGTTTTTCCAAATCATATAAATTGTAGTCGATCGTGTACCGTAACACTTTATATTTCTTGTGTAGTACTATGAAAAATATCACATACGTTGTACGACAAAGATATAATAGCTCTCAGATATTTGTCAGAAAATCATTTTCTTTAAATTATTGTAATCATAATGTTGTATCAAATAAATAAAATTCAATTGATATTGTGAAGGGATACAGTTTACAACTTTTGTTCTCATATACCAATATTAATATTCTCTCTACTATTATATAAACTTCTCTTCTCTTCTCTATTATATAAACATACATATATACATGTTTATATTGTCTATCACACGTTCATACAATTAAAAATTTAAAACATTTGTCTTTAAATTAAAAGAAAATATTTACGTACAACATAAAGTTAATATAAAAAAAAAAATAATAATTTAATCGACTACAAAAATGCTAATCATATATAAAAGACTTTAAAATCGTAAAGAGAGTATATAAATGTTAAATAATTTAGATTGTCAATAACAAAATACTCTAATACTTTACTTCTAATACTATATATAATTATATAAAAATAGAAAAGATACTATTTACGTTTTTTTATACATATGTACAAAAGAGAGCATTATTCAGGCCCATGAACCGTAGACAAGAATTTATTCAGGTCTACTTCATCTAAGTTACTAAGTAATATTTGCGGATCAGTCGTGCATTTCTTCTCAACCTTAAAAGAGAAAAACAATTATATAAGTATTATAGCCTATAGGCAACGTTAAGTATTTGTATGAATTTTTTAATTACCGGCTTCGTTTCTCTTGCTTCTGACAGTTTTCTCTTCCGGCTTTTGGTAGTAGTATCTGTAACTAAAGCATCTTTCATTTAACATTCTCTAACTTCTGCAATAAAAAGCAATTAAGCTTATTTTATTAAATAAATATTTTATAAAATATCTTTACAATCTTACCTTTTTCCTGATGCTTATCCGGTTTTTGCTTTTTCCTTGCATCAGATTGCGTATTGTTATTAGTTTTGTTTGCCGCAGCAGTTTTAATAATCGTCTTATTTGTTTTAGCTCTTGATGGTTCATCTATAGGAGACGACGTAGCCAAGGGTTTCGTGGTAACGTCTTTTAAATTAAGAACGTCTTTATCTGCTTGGAAGTTAGGTGTCTCGCAAACTTTTTCATTCTTCGTGCGTGATTTTTTACTCGCCGTCCGTTTCTTAGGCGGGCGATTAAATATTTCCTCCAACTCGGTAGCTTTCATTATCTTGATGCACTCAACGGGGTTCGAATTCGAGAAATCGGCATGATTGATTTTAATCTGTAACTCATGTGCGCTATATCTCCTTCTTCTCTTTTTCATCGGTACGCTGTCGTCATACACAAAGTGATACTCGGCTTTTATACCATTATGAACATCGACCATTTGATGCGATTCACCATCACCGTCGCTTTCAAGTTCGCTCTGCTCTTTATGTTGCTTTTCAGTTTGATTTTTATCATTGTTCGATTGCTCCTTTTTGGACGCAGGCACCAATTGCAAACACTGAAGAACGGTCGATAATTCCTGTTTGGGATTTTCAACATTTGCGTTCTCCTTCTTGTCTGGAGCTTCATCAGCATTTTGAGTTTCCGCGTCAGCAATTTTCTTGGTTTTGTCATCTTTCGCACTTACAGTCGAAGATGTTTTGTGATCGTTCTCCTCGTCACTAAATAAGTCGCGCTTCACTTGATCTACCTTGAATCTTAATATTTTATTATCAGATTTATCAATATTATTTGGAAACTGTCTCAGTTTACTTGCTTTATCTTCCGTTTGATCATTCTTTACCTTATCCGGAGCTAATGTTTCTTGTACGACGATATATTTCCCTGAATTTCTTTCTTTCTTTAAAATCTTTTTTTGTACAGTAGTATTGTTGAATGTCTCCCCCGTTCCTTCTTTGTCGACGCTCTTAACATTGCAGTTTTTCTCCGTATTTTCCTTGGAATCTGGCATCTCTTTTAAATGATCTTCATCTTTTGATAAGGAATTACGCGGTTGCGTGGATTCACTCATACAATTTTCAATTACATTATTTTCACAAACGTTACTTTCGTGCAATTGTTTTGTCGTATAACCATCAAGCGGTTTGTTACTATTATTCCCGTAATTCGTTAAGCTAGGATTTGTACTTTTCGATGCGGCAACTCGGTTTGTCGTTTCTTCCTCGTTATCGTTGCATTTGTTCACGAGATTCTGTTTTTGCGATTCGTATTTTCTTCGCGTACTTTTCCTCGAGGTTTCCTGTCGATTGTCCTGCGGCTCTGTATTCTTATTAACATCCCTGGCATATCTTGCCGGCGGACGTATAATTCGCTTTCCTCTACCAAACTTCTTCAGAGTGTCGGCAGTTTTGCCAGTTAAAATGCATTTACGCTTCGTCCCGCTAGGAAGATTCAATTTTGAATTATCTCTGATCTTAGCCATGATACGTTGTCGTTTTTCTTCTAGTAGCTGCCTGTGCTGCATCAACTTGTCGTGCATAAGCGTGCTTTGCTCGCGCTCGGGTTCATTTTGAATCGGTTTCGGAGGCTGGATGAATTTCACTGATCCTGGTCGAATACATTGTATATCTATTATCTTTGGCTGTGCCCGCGATTTGTTGATTTGTATTTTACCGCTGCTCTTGGACGACTTGTTCGATCTTGATAAATTTTCGTCTTCCGTCATAATCGCCGATATCCTTGTCGTCAAATTAATCGTTTCTACTCCGCTTTTTGAGCTGCTGGGCGTTTCCGAAATATCGGCTTCATTTAATAGAGTCTCATCTTTAACGGGGGTTTCCTTCAACGTATCCTTTAGCTGATCGTCAGTTTTCGTGATCGCGAACACTTTCTTCGGCGAAGATTCCGCTTCAATCGCGCTATCTGATTTTTTACATGCGTCGCTTGGTATAGCCGCTACATCATGTGTATCTTTCGGTGCGTTAATGCTTTTTTCCGCGAAATCGCTACTGATGTCCGTGCTCATTTTACTTGAGGCTTTATCGCATTTCCCGTTCGGCGAACACGTATTCGTCGATGTATTCGAACTGCTGGACGTAGATGATGATGAAGAGGACGATGACGACGATGACGAGGATGACGAAGAGCTACTCGCCACAGAGTCATTGTGAGAATCATTGACATAATTGGCATCGATTATTGTTTCTCGATGCTCACCTACGCCTTTAATTTCGTTCACCTGTATCAGATCCACGTGGTCTATTACAATCGAAGCGTTGAGTTCTGTCGCGATTCCTGAATCTTTGGATGCAATTTTAAACTCCCTGATAGCCTCTTCCCTCGGCAAATTCTCCTTGATCACTTCGAACTCCGTTATCTCTAGTTTGGAGGAAGTACACGTCTGATTACCAGAAATAAGACTATTGTGCGTCGAATGTAATTTTATGTGCGACGAAGATAGAATGGGTGACTCTTGCGTACTGCTGTCTTTAGGCTTAGATACCTTCAAATCAGAATCCTGAGCTTGCTCGGAGGTGGGTTTGTAGTACGAGGAATTGTACTCGCCTCTTTTTAGAATATCTCTAGTCGTCTCCTCTTTCGGTGTCAGAGCTACGCCCGGAGTTATCGGGAATTCCGGAGTGGTGATGAAACTACGTATTTTAGTGGAGTCCTCGCTGACCTTGATAAACGGTGTAATTAGATTGCTACTGGGACTTAGTACTCTCGGTGTCGGCGGAGGACCGGATATGTTGTCGAATTTTCTAGGTGTCTCCAAGCTTATCATATCGGGCAAAATGTGTTGCGTGCTGTCCACGGATATAATTCTCGAGACTTCTGACATTTGCGCGATTTCCATGTTTTTTACTTTCCCGTTATCAGACTTCCGACTTAAGTTAGTCGCTATCGTCGTTAATTGCACGTACTTTTTCACAGGTTTCGTTTCAACTGCTACCGCACCACTGATGGGTGCGCTTGTACTGGTCGTTTTTGCCGACGTCTCACAAGTATTGGTCGATTCCGAAATTTTGTCAGATTTGTTTGTACTAGAACTTACAGGATTAACAGTAGCTTCCGTTATATTTTCTTTCTCATTATTTTGCGATTCTGTTATTATGTTTTCTTGGGAATTCTCTTCCGATCCATTGGTGTTTTCCGCATTATGCTTAAGCTTCCTGTTCACTTTCAGTTTACCGCAACGCTTTCTCTCGTTGCTCTTCGATCGTGAATTGTATTTAGTCTTTTTACATATCACGTCATTCCTATCTTTAATAGAATTTCTTTTCCTCTTTACTGGTTCCTTAATCTCCGGCTTGTCTTTCTCGTCTCCCTTATTCGATTCTATATTCCTGCGTAAATCGGCATCCCAATTTCCCGCAAGGGGCTTAGATGGCTTGTGTTGAATGATTCTATCCTCGGAGGAGGAACAAGACGCGCTGGTACTACCATGTGGAGATACCTCGCCTATAATGACACCAACGCCGTTATACTTGTCCCAGCCTCCCATGAGTTTCGGCGCGGGGCTTCTAGTAGCTATGGGAATTCTGTAAGACTGATTAACTTTCATCGGACTCTTCTGTTTCTGAGCGGAAGTACTGGAAAGCGACGGTGATCTGAATAATGTAGTCCTACAAACGGATTTCAAACGTTTCGCCGATGTGAATGGTGTGTCCCCCCTCGTTTTCCTAGTGGAACTCGTCATTCTCGTAGGAGTGCTAAAGTCGAGCGCCCTTACGTGACTGTTTCGTTTACGCGGCGTGGATAAACTTAATCTATGATTTTTGGATCTACTTTTTAACAGGGATTTCGGCGTGCGTTTAGTAATAATATCGACATTCTTAGGTGACCGCGTGCTTTTGTTATTATTTGTCGTAGGGTTCGCTGCGCTTTCCATCACGGGTGCTAAATCAATGTCCGAAAGATTGTGACTTTGGTTGGTTTTGCTACAATTAAACTTTAAATATGGAGAAAGTCCGCTCTCCGACAGGCTGATATTTTCCTCCAAATTGATCATAGGCATGTTGGTGCTATCCAATGATGTTTTAGCGCTAGTTTCATCATTGCCATAAAGCGTTATCGATTCACCTCCAACGATCTTACCATTTTGCACCGGTTCTAACGGACGATTTAATACCTGTTGATCAATAGTGATGATGGGTACTGTCGCGTCAGTTTTGTGTATAGTTTTTAATCGTTTGTTCACGTTACCGTTTTTCCTTGTCGATTGCAATAATCCCACTTGATTCGCAGGATCGTTCGGTTCTTCTACCAAAGACGGCAGTGTTTTGACTGCCGGTACTTTCTGCGCTACATTGACCGCCCGTAGATATAAAGTTTCAGCAGTTCCTTTATTAATGCTATCTGAATCTTTCGGAGCAATCGGAATAAAACGCGAAGTGGAAGTCGATGTAATAGTTGATGAGCGATTTATTAAAATATTATTCACCTCTTCTTGCGAACACACTATCAACGTTGGCATAGCCATGATTTCGTGTTCTGTTATGGGCTGAATTGTATCGGACTGAACAGAACTGGATTGGTTATTATTGGCCGTTTGATCGCGTTTGGGTTTCGTGGGTCTTGGTCGTTTTACCGTGGACTTTTTAACTTTGGGCTGTATTTGCAGTTGTGTAACATTAGTTTTCTGTACGTTTGTCGCTGTTAAAGGTTTTATAGCATCATTCTTATTTATCAAAGGTATTTGCATTGTTTGCATTTTTTGTTCATTACTATCATCTGTGGTTATTATTTCTTTTGTATCAAGAGTTCTTTTGCCACTGTCAGGCACACTATTAACAATGTTGGCATTTATAATACTCAACACCGCGGCTGCATTTTGATCTTCCAAAGCGATTTGATCTTTCTCTTGATCCCTCGCTTTGTCGACCTCGTCTTCAACTCTGTTATATTGTTGTCTTGAAGAACTACGAAGTCTGTGCTTCAAAGGCACGTCCGCTGTACCGTCCTCCGCAGATACTTTAGTATCTGTTACCACTGGCTCTGGTGAACCAACATTGCTCACACTTGCTTCCACTTCCATTTGTTTCTCCTGTGCTCTGAAAGCAATATTTTGAAAATATAGCATATTTAATTCATAATGAAAAATAGTTAGTTCAAAAAGTAAAATATATACGCACTCATTAACCGACTTTGGGCTTAGCTTTCCTTCACCATCTTCCTCTGGGCTTGTGTCAGTTTCTGTGTGCGGTCCAATGATTTCATCGATAAATTTTTCAAACACAGGATCGGACTCCGTTGCTTCAACGATTGATTTAATAGCATTATTTAATTCAGCCATAATCGAGGTGTTTCCTTCACCGACCATTGACTCATTCAAGTGCTCGTCCTTCAAGGATAGGTCTGTAGGAATGATTGCTTTATTGATATTCTCTGCAATACATTCTTGTAAGTCTGTACGATTCAAAATTTCTTTCGTTAATATCTGGAAATGTATACAAGTAGATATTTTAATGACATAACGCTCAATATCTATATATATATATAATAACTGATTTGGAAAGTAAATTATTGTAAATGTTGTGTGAAAAAACAATACGAACATATATGAATAGCAGAAAATTAATATCACTTAGATGCTTACACTGAGATTTTCAATAGGCTCGTCATTAGATTCGGACTCTGACTCGGGTATCTCGTAAGGAATAGTTTGGACTTCTGTACTAGAGAAACTTAATAATTCTTCCGTACTTGTGGCTGTAGTATATTGTTTAGGTATTGTATTGATTACGCTTTCTTCCTTTTTTTTATCATCAATATCCATTTCGCAACTTCGTACACTTGAGACATCATCTATACAAAAAAAGTTGCCAATAAATTTGCCTACTAATTTATGTAATTAGTTTGACGTTTTTATAATTACCTGAACTTATCCGAATACTATTGTTTCTATTACGCGTGGTAATATCATTTGTACTATTATTTTTATCAGAGTCACATTGTCTGTGAGGCTCCTGCGTGAAATTGTCATCTCTTTTCTCGACTGTATGAGCGGCACATTCTGTCTGCCTTAATAAATCAACATTTCCAGGCAGGCTCTCTAACGGGGTTGTGTCAACATTGTGGCAGCTCGCTGCTATAATTTAGGCATCATCAGTTTTATCAAGATCTTACATTTTATAAGATGTTATAAACATTGTGAATAAAAAATAAATAAACGTACGTGGACTCATGATGTCCGATTGTTGTACTGAATTCAACTGGGATTTAATACTGCGTTTAACACGTTCACTATTACTATGGTGTCTTTTACGCATACTACTTGCAGCAATCGGTGAGCCATTTGATGTTTGTGCATTACTCTGTAAAATGTAGAAAAACGTTATATAATTTAATGTTAACCTCTCGTTTGATTATGCATTATGTGTGTATAATAGATATACACACACATACATATTAAATGCAGGAGCTTCCTTTTATTTTTAGAGGGCTTCTCCCAATCTGAAGTTGACCCAACTTTCAGTTATGCTAAGTGTGAAAGTTTTCTGCTACATTTTAGAATACTGTGAAGGGCAATTAATCAAGATAATAATAAGTTACCTGTGAAGGTACATTTATATTTACAACAAATCGCTGACCACGTGGCTCCTCTACAAGAAACCTGAGTTGCTCTATCAGATCTCCATTCAGATGCTTTAACTGCTCGCAGTCAGTGGCTTTACTTAATCGTTCTTGAACTGAAAGAGATAACATATGTGGATGTGAGGTCAATATTTATAGAATCAATGTGCAGTCTAAATCTATTCATTTATTACCGTTACTTAAATACATTTACGATAATATGCAAACGACAATATATTATTTACTCATGGTACTGATGGCTGAAAATTTTTCAACAATATCCATCAACGTTAGACCATTGACTCGGGTACTAAATCGCCTCCCGCAAGAAAGTACAGTACGGCATTCTTGCAAGTGCGGAGACGTCTCTAAAAACAGTTTGGCTGCTTCAGCACACTTCTGATCTTCCAAATAACCTAGAAGCAGAAACTCGGTAATAGAACTACAACGCTATCAAATAGAAGCTATACAAAAACCAAAAATATATAAATATCAGTAGATGAAAGAGATCGTTTTCTTTGTTGTGCTTTCTATATCCTTCTGTCCTTTCTCTCTTTAAAACTCAGATGTATCAAAAACACAATTAAAACAAGTAAACCCAAAGAAATACATTTGTTAAAAAATCTTGCTTTCTTCATTAAGGAAACTTTATTCACCCAATCATTATGTTACTCTCAAATTCAAGAAATGCTTTGCTAAAAATTTACTTGTGTGCGCGCACACACGAGTGGACGCAAAGAGATAAGAGGCAATGCACCCCTGCGTGAAAGAATTCTATGACATAAAAGGAATATATTCTTTCAGCAAACGTAGTAAACTGCGATCGTAATACATTGCAGGTGAGGAAGCTACGAAGCTCGGCTGCAAAGAGCACAAAGCCTTTTCGAGGGGCAGAGCCCATGCCATGGCGTTTCCGCGGGAAAGGTTAAGTGCGGGTGGGTAATCTTGGCTGTGCAGTTTTGTGCATCTTACCGAGCACCAGTCGAGCGATCTCAGAAGGCAGCAGGGCTTCCATGATTGCGCTGGATATCAACTCGCGATATCCAAGAAAACTTCATCGATGCACCAGCCGCGTCGCGATCCAAAACAACGCTTCGCTCGGATGCGCTATTGCGTCTCAACCAGTCTCAACACTCTCAACAGTGGCAACAAATGGCAAACTGGGCAAACATTTGTAGTGCATTGCTACCAACGTGTGACCCCTCGCCTCTCTCAAATTCGACTTCGGCGAATTAAAAAAAAAAAACAGACGAGCGACGCTTCGCTGTTTTCCTTACGGGGCGAAACGAGCCGTTCTGCCGCGACGTTATCGCGAATTATCGTTCGCGCGGATCTAATTAATTACGCGTATTTGGGAAATTTCGTTAGACTCGTATCTTCGCTCGTCACACTTGGCGATATTCGTTGTGCGCCGTCGAGCACGAGATTAAATGGAAACGCGTAGGGAACGACGGCGTCGTTGCATCTCGGAGAAATGTTTCTCCGCTTTTCGAACTTATATTTCGCGGCTGCATTCGAATCCTCCACCCACAACATCGCCATTTTTACAATTGGCATTTCGACGGGACCGCGGGACGTCGAAAGACCAACAGCCGTAGGTCGAAATCCGTCTGGCAGCTGGCTGAAAAGGGAATTGGGGAAAGATCTGTCACGCGTTTTTGCGTTTGCGCCCTCTCAGAAAATGTCGCGGCCGATAAGAAAAACCTGTTCTCTTTTAGAGCTGAACCGCACCGTTCATCTTTCCCTCTCTTTCTTTTCACGTTGGAAAGAAAAAGAGAAAAGATGAACTGTGCGAGAAGTTCAGCCAAAAAAGAACAGGCCTAACGAGAAAGGAGGTTCAAGGAATTACATTGTTTAGGCCCGTATTCATAATCAATTTTTATATTTAAAAAAAATTATTAACATAATAGAATTAACATAATACTGTAATAATATAATATGACATTCGTATAATTTTTCATTATATGCACATTATTTTATATATATTCTTATAATTATATATATATATATTCTTGGATATTAATATATATGTATTTATCCTTATATATTTTTTTTATTCGATTCTTATTGTTCTTTATAGTTCAACTGTTTTTACTTTCCTCCTTCTCTCTCTTTCTAACATCTAATTTGTTTCATTGCAGATAATGCAGGTGATGTTTGGAATTTCGGACCAGCTGGTTCACATACTACGTGGTTCGCGCAGTTTGTGACAAGTCTACATACATGCCGAAATGTATATCAGAGAATAACCTAAAAAAACAATTCTCTGTCAAGTGTTCTTGACGTGGCAAATCTCTTTTCTAGCGTTTATTTAAAGGCACATCACCATAAACCCGGCGCTTTTTTCCGTACGGATTGCAACTGCGCTTCCGAATTGTGCTGTCATATCTGATATCCGCTTTGATATCTGTTATTGGAGTATTTGGTTACCACATTTGGGCTTGTTAAATGTAAATAAAGGGCTTCTGCTTCCACAGTCAATAAGTGACGGTACGATTTTCTGTAATTAGGTGACCGATAGTGAAGGAATTATTGACAATATGCATATATTGGCAAAACATTTGATTGATGTATTCTGATGTCCTTTTTTTATTCTGCTTTGCATAATTAAAAGTAATTTATATGAAGAGTGTCATAAATGAGTTGGATAAATGTAAATTAGAGTTATATTAAATATAAGCTGTAAATACAGAATAAATGCATA